CGGACAGGAGGCCGCATCGCCACCAGGAGCGCACAGTATAGCCACCAGTGCGGCGGCGGGTCGCGCGGCAGCCGGCCGACCGACCGCAGACTGACCGCGCGCGCCGCGCCGGCCGGCGGCGGGTCGGACCGCGTCGATGGCCGCGGCGTCCCGCCTCTGGAGCAGATGATAGCAGCGCTCGAGGACAGACATCGCGACCTCGGCTCGCCCACGAGCGCCGCCGCCAGACGACGCGCCGTGATAGGCAGTATGACCAGTGCAGCGGCGGCCTGTGCGCCGTGGCCCTGCAGCGGCCGAGGCCGCCAGAGGCGAGGACGGCGGCGCGCGGCAGAGCGCGGAGGAGCGCGACAGGGTGCGGAGAGCAGCCAGAGCCTGGAGGAGCATGGCGGAGCCTGACAAAGCACGGCAATGCAGGGCCGAGCACGGGTGCGGGATTGCACGCGGCGCGCGTGCGTGCGCTGCAGAGCCTGCGCTCTCGACAAGGGGCCGTTTAAGCTCCTGCACGTTACGCTGACAGCCATGCGTGGGCGTGCGTGAGGACATCGACGGAGCCTTCACCGTGCGCAGACGGAGCGCCTCGACCGCGGACAACGCCGGAACGTTCCCGCCGCTGGAACAGCGATGGAAGGGTGGCATCGACAGTGGGGTCTGCTGACTGCCAGCTGCCGCTGACGGCTGCGCTCGCAGACAACAGCGGCGCCGGGAACACAAACACGGCGCGCTGTCAACAGTTGGACAGCGGCCCCGCTGCCGGCCCCAGGCGCTCGGACGGGGCAGCACCTCGCGTCTGAGCGTCGGCGCGCGACTGGCGGCGCACCTCCCCGGACCGAAACGCCCTAACACCACATCTGCTTTGTTCGCCCCGTCAGATAGTGACCAACACACCTAGGATACGTACCGTAGCGGATAGTGGAGCTCAAGATCGCCTCATTCGGCCAGAAGGGGACGCAGCTTCGCAGGGGCTGAGGCCTTTGAAACACCGACAAGCATCATCATAAACTGCGCGCGTATTACCGGACCATCATAGCTTGCCGCCCATCCCCGGTGGCTTGACGTCCGCCTGCGCATGACATCACGGAATCTGGGCGATCGCCGGCAACCGCCGGCGCGGGCGGCGTCACGCTGGTGCCGGCGGGCTCGCCTGACGCCGTGTTGACGCGCCACACGGTGCTGGGTCAGCAATATGGCAGGCGGGCACACATCCGGAGAGGCTCGGTGGACACGCCGCCCCGCCCGCGCACAGCCGGCTCACTACACGACTACACGGCAGAGGACGTGTCTGAGTACCATGGCTGACAATGGCGGGTGATCGTGCGTTATACAAAGACATCCGCGGCGTGCTGCTTAATGTGATTCGATGTGATTAGCAACCGAACTGGCATGCAAGCCGATGTTCATGCCAGCAATGCTTCATTACATGATATTACCCATAAAGTGTCATCGCTAGATTAATATTCTCGCATCATGTGCTAAGAGTATAATTGCTATGCCTTTAACATTCCGTGGTGAACTGCACGGAACACTGAAAATAGAGGAACTAGAGCGACGAGCTGCTATGACAAGGGACGAAAAGAATAGGTACATAGGTATGATGACAAGTCACGTTTCGCATCGAACACAATACAACTGCCACTCACCGCTGTGAGATCCATTATGGCGGGCGAGTCCTCGAATAATCCCCTGTAATCGCGGCGTTTACAAGCGGCGATAAGCTGCCTCTTAGAGGAGCACAACTCAAACGTCCGTATATGTCTGGCGAGCACGCTGCTAGGCACAGCTATGCTCACATACAAATAGAGGTATAAAAACGTGTGCCACGGAGTGCAGCCGAGATAACATAGTGTAGAGTAGCACATGCCAGCATGTACCAAGACAGAAAAAGAAACCGGAAGAAAAAAAAGTGTTCTGAAATCTGACCACTTCTTATAAAGAGACCAAAGTTAAATAATAATAATGGAGAGAGAGGGGTGAGGAAGAGAAGCGAGAAAGAAAGAAGAGAGAGAGAGAGAGAGAGAGAGAGAGAGAAGAGAAGAGAGAGAGAGAGAGAGAGAGAGAGAGAGAGAGAGAGAGAGAGAGAGAGAGAGAGAGAGAGAGAGAGAGAGAGAGAGGAGAGAGAGAGAGAGAGAAGAGAGAGAGAGAGAGAGAGAGAGAGAGAGAGAGAGAAGAGAGAGAGAGAGAGAGAGAGAGAGAGAGAGAGAGAGAGGAGAGAGAGAGAGAGGAGAGAGAGAGAGAGGAGAGAGAGAGAGAGAGAGAGAGAGAGAGAGAGGAGAAGAGAGAGAGAGAGAGAGAGAGAGAGAGAGAGAAGAGAGAGAGAGAAGAGAAGAGAGAGAGAGAGAGAGAGAGAGAGAGAGAGAGAGAGAGAGAGAAGAAGAGAGAGATAGAAGAGAGAGAAGAGAGAGAGAGAGAGAGAGAGAAGAGAGAGAGAGAGAGAGAGAGAGGAGAGAGAGAGAGAGAGAGAGAGGAGAGAGAGAGAGAGAGAGAGAGAGGAGAGAGAGAGAGGAGAGAGAGAGAGAGAGAGAGAAGAGAAGAGAGAGAGAGAAGAGAGAGAGAGAGAGAGAGAGGAGAGAGAGAAGAGAGAGAAGAGAGAGAAGAGAGAGGAGAGCGAGAGATAGAGAGAGGAGAGAGAGAGAGAGAGAGAGAGAGAGAGAGAGGAGAGACGAAGAGAGAGAGAGAGAGAGAGAGAGAGAGAGAGAGAGAGAGAGAGAGAGAGAGAGAGAGAGAGAGAGAGAGAGAGAGAGAGAGAGAGAGAGAGAGAGAGAGAGAGAGAGAGAGAGAGAGAGAGAGAGAGAGACGTCACGTGCGCCTCCACCCGGCCGGATGGGCGGAAGCAGCGCAGTGCCGTGACATCAGAGATTATGTTTCCTGGAGGCGGTCGGGCCCGGCGGAGCAGCGGTCACTGACTGGGCATGGATCGGATGACCGGGGGCCGTGCGGTCGGAAGTGCGGCAGTGTAAGATGTCGTCTAATGATACGCGATGCAAGTTAGGTTACTGGTAATTTTTTAGCTAGTCCGAAAAAACTACGTACAAATTACGGCAACCAACCGCGTCAAATGTACGCAAATTAAGGGCACACTGGATTGCACCAGCCGGTACATACCAGATATAATATCAACATCCAGGATCTCTGCGCCTCAGACTCTACTTCTCCGGCTGTATACAGCTATTTGTCATATTATGCACAAGTGCTCGCAGGAGGCCTCGCAGGAAGACATGTCCAACATGCTGTACAAAATCACCCACCTGTCTACGACGGAAACCTTCCGTCTACCATGAAGGGCTAACGGCAACCTGACTTAGTCAGCCACGGCCCGCAGACAATAGATGATAACCTGTCCAACCGACACAGGACAAGCCGGACACCCTCACAAGCCAAGCGGACATGAAACGGAAACGCCGGCTGACGGGGGACGGGCCGGACACCTTCACAAGCGGACATGGTAACCCGCCCGACTGACACATACATACAACATACACGCACACGCACACGCACACGCGCAGGCGCACACGCGCACGTCCGCGCCGACGACGAGACCTGTGCCTGAGTCAGCTGACCGACCTGGCGAGGCACCGAGGTCGCCCCAGGTCACGCTCCCGCCACAAACCACGGTGACCAGAACGACCTGGCAAGGACCCCGTAAGGCCACGTCACAACCGAGCTAGGAGCCTGCGTCAGTTCACACGCCCGACCAGGCATGGAGGTCGGCCCAAGTCACGCTCAATTCGGAGGCCTGGCTCCCCCACAAAGTACACATCGATATCATAAACTTCCTACTTCCTAAGTCATGGCCAATGGGACATGCAGTCATGCATCTGTCGTCGGCATCCTAACGTTTCTATAACTCAACCGGTCCTTTTCACTGGATCACCTCTCTTAGGCGTTGCTATGGCCGTTTTGTTGGCGGCTGCTCAGACCAAACAAACGCCCCGAAACCCACGCGATGACCCTGGCAGTTTGCTGGCACGCCAGAGGTCCATTTGCCGTCGCTGTCGTCATTACGGCGGAGACGCGCGCGGCGCAGCCCGAGCCGCCGCTGGTCGGTCCGGTCCGCCTGCCTCAGCTGGCCGTTCCCAGCGGTGCTCCGCCAAATGACGTCCCAGCCGACGGCCGCCTCCATTATTAACCGAAAAACACCGGCGGAAGCCGTTCGCTGGCACAAGGTGATCGGCAGCGTTACCCACGCGTCGATATGTCCCCTGGGCACGTAGCGTGAAGGCCAAAGGCTCGCGCTCGAGGTCGATATTTTTCGCGGCTTGACTGTTATCGCGCCTTAATGTTCAGACGGTTCTGCCATCCGTTCGGCCTATTTCATGACGCCTTTTACTAACTCTTGTCGGCTTTATTCCCGCGGGTTGACAGCAAAGTATATACACATAAACTCTGAAGGGTTTATCCACTTGCTGAGTGCACGCTATCTGTTGCGGGCATAACCGGCATGTCCCACGTCAATTCAACACCGCCCCAAAGCCCTGCACGGCCTCGTCCGACGCGATAAGTGTCCGGATGTGAACATGAGCCTCCACGACGGCCACCCGGCCAATGGCTCCGGCCAGTCGCTTAAGTTTCGATCGAGGTCGGAAGTTTGTAAACAGCCACAAGAGGATTGTTACTGCTTGCAGCCACGAGCGACGGGGATGTTCACCGCGAGCAGCCACGAGCGGCGGGGGATGTTCGCCGCGAGCAGCCACGGGCGGCTACGGATGTTCGCCGCGAGCAGCCACAAGCGGCGGGGGATGTTCGCCGCGAGCAGCCACGAGCGGCGGGGGATGTTCGCCGCGAGCAGCCACGAGTGGCTGGGGATGTTCGCCGCGAGCAGCGAACCGAGACAGGGCGGACCGTGACTTGACAGTCCCTAACCACCGGCGCGGAGCGTCCCGGGTCACTGATGACCGGCCGCCGCGGTCGGGAAACGAACGGCGGCGGACTGCGCCCGACTGACCCACAGCAGTTGGGCCGTCAGCTGGCGCCAGGACAAAGCCTCTGACGGCTGGATGGGAAGTGACGTTCACATCGTGCAGCGCATGCTCCGCACAGCTGACTGGCTTTCGAGGACGACGGACGCGGACACTCACCAGCTTAACGCCCAAATGGCTGCACCGGTACCGGCAGCCGCGGTCAGCTGTGCCGAGTCACACCATCACAGAGCATAACGAGAGAAGAGGGACCCACCTGTCGTAGACTCTGCAGGTGGACGTGTTGACCCGCCGGTCGCTGAGGTAGCGGCGCCGGTCTTCGAACAGGTCTTTGATTGCCGTCACGCCCATCACAAATACTAGCGGCAGCATCGCCACCTCCTTGCCGAACGCACTGATCTCCGGCACCCAGTTCAACAACACGATGAACAAAAAGTACAGGTTGGCGAAACGGTGAAACTGCTCGAACAGGTTCTTTGGCAGGAAAGAGAGCAACGTGTACTTGGTAGTCCGGACGTAGTTGTCCAGGAAGCCGGCGTTCGGGTGCTGCTTGGCCGGCGTGTCCGGCGGTACCGTGTGGTTTGGCACAATAACACGCAGGCGCGCCTCCTCTGCCACCTTTTTCTTCCAGAAGCACAAGTAGTCGAAGATGGAGGAGCTTTGCTGCGTCTGGCGGAGCGTGTAGACACTCTCGGAGCGCGAGGCCTGCCGCGAGTGGCCGCGGAACAGACTGTCGGCACGTGAGCCGTGCCGCTGCCGGCCGGTGGCGCCGCGGCCGCTCCGCTCGCGGGACACGTGGCCGGGCGGCAGCGTGAACTCGGTCCTGGAGGAGGCGCGCTGCACATCGTCCAGTCCATCCATGCCGATCTGCCCGTGACTGAAGGCGCGCGCATGGCCGCGGCGCGCCGCCGTGCCGGCCCGCTCCGGGTCCTTGAGGATGGAGGGGCCCGGCAGCTGCGTGCCCTGGCTGGCCGAGCGCACGTGACCACGCCGCTCCGGCGACAACGGCTGGTGGGAGACGGTGCGGCCGGCCGGCCGGTGGCCGCGCTCCGGCAGGCCCGGCCCGGGCTCTGCCGCCGCCGCCGCCGCGTCGGCGCCCGGCCTCCGGCATGCTGGCGCGTCTGGAACACAGGCGGGGACACGTCACACCGCCGGACTCTGCCGCCGCTGGCGCCCGAAGCGCAGAGCTGCCCAGTGCGCTGTCGGCCTGGTCACATAGCCAAGGCACCTGGCCCGCAACGGGAGCATGTCTGGCCAAACCTCCGTGAACCAAGGTTCTGGCTCACACAGACTCACCTCCGTCGGCTCTGCGACGTCCCTTTGGATACTAACGTACAGTCCTTCCATCTCCTAGCGGCCTCCAGAACAAAGGGCCACATACCCCTCATCAGTCACCTCCAGGTGAGGAGAGGCGAAGGGCCAAACCAATCTGCCTTGGACGGAGCCCAATTGATCTAAACCGGCCCCCTCTTCTCAACTTTCTACCAGAGACTGTGCTGTTGATAGCAGCACAGGCTCTATCTCCAGGCTGCAGCACCCCTTTATGGTCAGATTAACTTATGCTGGCAAGCAGGGAATTAAAACTGCTTTGTTTGCTACACCCATTTCACGTACAATGTTTATTTCTGCCATTGATCTGGCATACTAGGGACAGTCAGGACAGACACCCATGCACAGCTAGCTAGGGCCATCTGTTTAAGAACACTGCCAGACATGTTCTTGCTTGCTGAAACCTTTGTAGGTGCATACACAAGGAGATAGCTGGAGGTTTGGCCAGTCACAGGGTAACAGCTGCCTAGGGCATAAACAGAAAAGTACAGTGGATCACTGTTAGACAGAGTGAATTTGGCCTTCAACACATCAACACTTCCAACAGGATCTTTTCATATTAGTTTGATACAGACACATTTTGATTCTCATTTTGTATGTGACAACCATGATTCAGATCACTGAGGTGAAGAACCCATAACCTGCACTGCAACAGCACATTCTAGTTGAGATTTCACAAACTGAGACAGCTGGTACTTTGGTTGTCTCCATTGACATTTAAAATTGCATTGTCATGGCATTCAACCCGTGTTCCATGGTCTGGGGGACATATGTGAGGCTCCTCATGCAGGGGTAATGGGTTCAAATCCCTGAGGAGGTGCATTATTTGATCAACACTGACAAGGCGGGATCACCTGGCAACCAGCCAATAAGGGTTAAACCAGGCCTATGATACCTCAATATTGCTGAATATCAAAACAGGCATGCAAAATTATCTGCAATACTGTCTGGCAAATAAGTGGAAGCAGGAGTTACCTGTTTGGCTGGGTGGAACATCTTGTGTGGTGGGTCCAGTGTTAAAAAAAAAAACACATTGTGACAAGTATGCTAAGACCAAGGTCACCTATGCAATCTGATTAGGATAAATCAAGAAAACAAAATAATAACAGCCATATAATGATAAGGTGAATGTTTACAGCATGTTAATTACCACAAAACTTGTTTTGTTCACCATTTATGTGCAAAGCACTCAATATGTTAACAATAGATATTTAGAAGAGCCCATGTGATGCTACTTGGCATGCTCACATATACCTTATTTTGGTTCAAAATTTGCATGCATATTTCTTTAGGATTGAGCTCAGACTTGAGCCTGAGACCAGTGCTTATCTGATTTCTAAGCCTAAACCTGCATTTGAACTTCAATCTGGCCAGACATTGAGTCAAATTACATACTGTTAAAAAATGACTGATTGTTACACAAAGGAATATTAATGAATCATATAAATACTATTCATGTTGTTTTATTACCTGTCCAAATCTGTTGGTCTTCCAAAAATATATTTTGCTTTCACATACTGATGGTGGGTAACCCTATATCCGGACTTTGTATGCTTTTAGAGTATGATCTTAAATATACAGCATCATCTTACTATATTTAGAGCACATAACTGCATGTTGGCTGCTTCCAACATATGCTTTTATCAGCAAATTGATACAATTTGAAAATTTAATGAGTCATAAGGCAGATACTAGGCAAACTTTTTCCCACAAATACACCATTACAACTATGCATTCTCTGCAGATTTCAACAGCCATTTTTGGCTGTGCTACTTCCATATTCTATCCACTTTTTTAATATTTGCATTTTGCCTTTTACTGTTACAAACATCAGTAAAGGTGAACTGGATGGTAAAGGTGGGCCAAATGAACTAGCCTACATCCAATGAGAAAATTAATTTAAGCATGCGACAAGCTAAAGCCCAAATTATACAAAATGGTAAGCTTGCTGCCCAGCTTGAAGTAGCAATCGAGGCTATCGCATCTCGTTGACGTCCCTGCCGCGGTTCGTGGACGGGTCAGGGAGCGCCACGTGCACCTTGGCCACGTAACCAAACGCGTCAAAGCGCTGTACATGGACATGTGGAAAATATGACACACACACACACACACAAAAGTACGCAGCCTTAAAAAGTTCTTATCCGCCACATCTGCCTGACGGGTAAATTCTACTTAACATCCTATTTCTGCAAAACAACGGCTAGGACGCTGAAAAGAGTTGGCGTGGTTAAGAAGCCGGAACAGCATCTGTGAATGGCACAGTTTACGAGCACGCCAGTATTTATACAAGCTAAAGTTTCCGCAGCTCCACCTACCAAACCGCTCTTTCCCGGTCCCGGCAAACACTCACATGTCAATCCCGCACCACCCCCTCCCAGCAGCTGCCGACAACTGACCCTGACAACACACAAAACCCCGGGGGCAAACAGCTGATTGTATTATCCAAGAGTTTTATAAAAATTGAGTTACGGGAATGAACTTTCGTATTTTATTACAATTTCTTAAGTAATTGCTTCAGAGATGGCTTTTTTTCCTTTTATTACCATTTTGCACTTAACATTATTTCAATAGCTAATGTAACTCCTTTATCGTGTGCTGTTGCCATGGTGACCACCTTACCACTGGCATACAGCTCGGCGCGCAACAGACAATTTCTGGTGTCATCTGTTTTTGGTGTCTTGCAGCGTTTAACAGCGCCGCTGGGAAATGCAAATATGCGCGTGGAGATGTTGTGGTCAACAGTTTTATTTTCAGCATTTTTTTAGATGCAGAATGATTAAGTAATGATGTGTGAGTGAACATTGAAAGGGCTTGTCTGCCGTTTTATGCACACTGGAGTGGTGCAGCTGGAGGGATATCTGGATTTTTCCATTCTGGATTTTGAAATTGTCCACATTTACGCTTAATACACTTGGATATGATGCATGTAACTATTTTGTAAGGGGGTATATGTCCTTAGTGCCTCTCTTCCTTGAATATACTCTGTCCAGGAGGCCTCCTTCGATGAGACTCTTCCACCCAGGAATCCCTGGAAGGTCCTTGCCTCCAATTTAAAATGTGATACTCCTTAATGCAATTTATAATGCCCAACTTTAAAGGAAGAACAAATTGCAAAAAAGAAACATAATGCCAAGCATGGCCAGCATATACCAGCTAGAATGAGTACAAGATACTATTCTGGTGCATTCAATGGAAATCAGAATCATCTCTTAGGTCTGTGAGGTAGAAGCAAAACAAATTGTTCATGAGTGGAATTGAGCACAAGTCTATATATGTATATATATATATATCATAAATTGGTGTGATCACAGCATCCTGGCTGTTAATATACATCTGTAGGTGTTTTGTACATTTGGGCTTGAATCTACATACATGATGAAGTCCTAACCATGATATACAATCCATCAAGTGTATTTCAGCTCTGACTCACCAGCATTGTATGCCTTCTCCCAGGGCTCATCAGACTTCACCTGGATTAAACATTGTTATCTGTGGAACTGATTAATGCATTTTGATTGTCACACAATATGCAAACCTGTCATGAAGTCATATTGCCTTAAGCTGGCATGACACCTCATTATCATGGCTGAGGCTGAGCTGGTGCTGAACATGAAGGAAGAGAACAAGGGTGTGGCGCCGTGTGGTCCTAAAAACCAAATAAAGCTAGAGGAGCAACACCAGCTGATTGCTGCTAAGAAAGCAATTGGTTTTTCACAACAAACTTGTGAAGGCTTCCAGCCCTTACTGACTGAGGTAATATGATACTGAAGTTTTTATTACAAGCAAGCATCTAGCTCTAAATGAAAACAGAGATTGGTCCAGTTCAGCATTTGGTCATCAGTAGATAAAGTGGATGCAAACTCACTGGTGAAGCAGGCTTGTGCTGTTGTGCAGTGGTGTGGCCTTTAATTTGCAAGCTGTCCGAAACATTGCGTGCAGCTGGTTTTACTGACTTGCAGCATAAAGACTGAAGAAATTTCAGGGCTCAGATGGATTTATTTAAGTCATTTCTAACACATTTTCCTGTTAAGCATAGTGTAAGTCTTAGGTATCAGCAAAATGAATTATGTGGATACTATTTATAACAAGCTAGCCCCAGTAGTTTTAACAATGTAATTCATGAACACATTTTAGTTGTTGTGCACTTTCTTTGATGGAACAAAGAAGATGAGACTATTTGAAAGAGAGCTCACCCTAATATCATGCTACTCAATCTTGTTTGCCAATTTTATGTGTTACACCAGCATGCATCACCAAACATGCTCCTTCCTACATTTTCCTGTTCAACGGCCATGTTTGTATACGACCGGGGCCAACTGCTGTGCACGTTTGGCGTCCATACCACTGCAGCTGCGTGTCTTATCTCCCCAGACGCATCAACAGCTGGCGGCCTGCAACGAGCGGTTGCAGGCGTTGGCCGGCCGCCGGCAGCGGGCGGCGGCGCGCACGCTCGAGGCGGCTCGTGCCGGCCGACACGCGCTCTACGGCTACCTGCGTGATCAGCTGGTCGGCCTGGACGCCAACGTTGCCGAGCAGCAGCGTCAGCACCACTGGCTGACGCAGCGCCTCGCCACGCTCGAGTGAGGAGGCACGGCGGTCTGGTGCCGGCACGTACGGCGATGGACTTAACGAGAGTGTGCGTGGGGAGCTTGGCCGGGATGTGCACTGCTGGGCTGATTTTCCGTTTGCTAGTTGATAGTCTGACATTGTTGCTCCGACGCCTGCTCATGTGCGTGTGCGTGTGCGTGTGCGTGTGCGTGTGATGACGGCTGCTGTCTGTGGCTAAGTGCCTCTCTGGCTATTCGCATTAATGAATCTGGGAAGTGACGTGAAACAAAAAGCGTGTCTGCGTAGCAGATGTAGCGTTCTGCGTTTGCACCAATCCGTTAGACACTTTTGATGTGCCGTCATTTTTACATTCATGGTTATCAGCTCATCATGTTAGCCCAGTTTGGGATATCGGGCCAGATTGCAGGGCTCTCCCAACGCAGGTGTTTCCGTTATGCTTCGACGAACTTTTTCTGGCATGGCATATGAGCATGGTGAGGGTTTGTGCATGTACTCAACCATGCCTGATGTTGTAAAATAATGTGCGCCGTATGTTTGAAATCTATTTGATAATTTTATCATTTTGAAGCCAACTCATTGACAGGAAATATCACTTACAAGCTTGTCAAATGGCCTCGTGGGTTAAGATTTTGGCGAATGTGTCATATTTTTAGGAAGTACGCTGCTGAAGCGGTGTTTGATGATGGCAAGCTTGTCGCTACGAAATTTTTTGTCAACCAGACGGAAGAAAGTTTCACGCAGAGAAAGCTGGCCCAGAAGGACTGCTACATTAGTCGTGAGGAGAAACTGGTTAACACCTATCAGGTAAAAAAAAAAACACACACACACACAGATGAGTCCGAGGTCTCATGGGAAACAGATGAGTCTGAGCCCAGTCCAGTATTGCATTAGTCATGACAAGCTGGCAAACATCCAGGGCCGTAGTTTCGCAAAATGAGAATGAATTTGAGTATGAAACCGAATATGAATCACAAACACAAACATGAATTCCGAAATGAATAAGGAACTACGCCCCTGTAAACATCTGCTAGATTCTAAAAAAAACAACAACAAAGTGATGAGTCCAGTGGCCTGTCACGTTAGACCCGTCTTGGCTGACTGGGACTGAAATTTAACGGCCCCAGGTAACTCTGTCTAGAGGAAATACATGACAACATGACGTCCTTTTATCTATCCATTCCTCCCCCCCCCCCCGCAATCATCTTTAGAATAGGTGATCACTTGCCATGGTTAACAACCACATGCTGTGGTTAATAACCAATTATTACCCTACTTGCGAAATCGTCATCACGCATTATGATGTACATCTCATACGAAATATTTGCTTCTTCTTACATGAGGGTAGCAAGGCATTGACACTCCCAGGCCCTTTCTATGGCATCGAGCGCGGATTGGAAGGCATTGTGCCGCCTGTCTCCGCTTTTCCCATTCCGCCCTGCCCTGCCCACGTGTCTCACCGTCCCGCAAATGTCTGTCCGGACCGGCGCCCCGCTTGGTGAGCCGTGTATGGGCCGTGTCCTGCCCAACGCTGGCCGACTGCAGGCTAACCTGCTGCTGCGCGCAGGGCGGCGTGCGCCGGCGGGAGCGGGGTGAGCACGAGGCGCGGCGCAGCCTGCAGGCTCGTGAGGAGCTGCTGCGCCGCCAGGCAGAGGAGACGGCTGACCGCATGGACGCGCACGTGACTGATACACTGAGCGTACTGCGACGACAGCAAGAGGAGCAGGTGTGAGATCAGGGGAGAGCAGGGGAGCAGCTGTGTGGTAAGGGGAGGACGGGGGAGCAGGTGTGTGGCCAGGGGAGAGCGGGAGGGGGAGGTGTGTGGTCAGGGGAGAACGGGGGTGCAGGTACGGAGTCATGAGAGAACGGGGGAGCAGGAACATGGTCAGGGGAGAGCGGGGGAACTGATGCGTTGTCAGGGAAAAACGGGGAAGCAGACGTGTGGTCATGAGAAAATGGAGGGGATAAGGGTGTGGTTGGGGAATAGCGGGGCAGCAGGTACGTGGTCAGATGAGAACTGGGGAGGAGGGACGCGGTCAGGGGAGAGTGCAGGAGTAGGGGCATAGTCATGAGAGAACGGGGAGCAGGTATGTGGTTAGGAGAAAACGAGGGGGGGGGGGAGTAAGAGCGTGGCCAGGGGAGAGCGGGGCAGTAAGTTTGTGGTAGGAGAAAGCAGGGGGGGCGGGTGGGTAGTCGGGGAAGAGCGAGGGAGTAGGTTGGAAACGTCAAACGTAGGGGGTCAAGGGAAACGAGGGGGTAGGAGCGTGGTCAGGAGAGAACTGGCGAGCAGTTGTATGCCCAGGGGAGAACAGAGGAAGCAGTTGTGCGGTCGGGGGAGAACGGAGGTAGCAGGTGGGCGGTCAGAGGGGAATGGAGGAGTGGTTGCGTTGGTTTGGGGAGAATGAAGGGAGCAGGTGTGCGGTCAGAGGGGAACGGGAGAGTGGGCGCATTTGTTAAGGGAGAACGGGGGAGCAAGTGCCTGGTTAGGGATATAGGGATGAGTTGTGGGGCCAGGAGGGAAACTGAACAAGCACATGGTCGGGGAAATTTGCAGAAGCAGTTGGCGTGTAGTCGATGGAAGCCTGGAACGCGACATGTATTCTCAGCATGCAGCGGATACCTTCTGCTACGGACTGACGTCGAGTGGTGTATAGAGCAAAGTGTGGGAAGAACATAGGCGAGCATATTTCAGACACTGATTATCAGGCCAGGCGCGTTCCGCGCGTGTAGGCGCTCAGGAGATAGCAGTCGTTCTGTGTGTGTGCTCAGGAGACAGCAGTCAGTCCATGTGTGTGCTCAGGAGACAGCAGTCGGTCCATGTGTGTGCTCAGGAGACAGCAGGCGGTCCATGTGTGCGCTCAGGAGACAGCAGTCAGTCCGTGTGTGCGCCTCAGGAGACAGCATCTGGTCTATGTGTGCGCTCAGGAGACAGCAGTCGGTCCGTGTGTGCGCTCAGGAGACAGCAGTCGGTCCGTGTGTGCGCTCAGGAGACAGCATCTGGTCTATGTGTGCGCTCAGGAGACAGCAGTCGGTCCGTGTGTGCGCTCAGGAGACAGCATTTGGTCCATGTGTGCGCTCAGGAGACAGCATCTGGTCTATGTGTGCGCTCAGGAGACAGCAGTCGGTCCGTGTGTGCGCTCAGGAGACAGCAGTCGGTCCGTGTGTGCGCTCAGGAGACAGCATCTGGTCTATGTGTGCGCTCAGGAGACAGCAGTCGGTTCGTGTGTGCGCTCAGGAGACAGCATCTGGTCTATGTGTGCGCTCAGGAGACAGCAGTCGGTCCGCGTGTGTGCGCTCAGGAGACAGCATCTGGTCTATGTGTGCGCTCAGGAGACAGCAGGCGGTCCGTGTGTGCGCTCAGGAGACAGCATCTGGTCTATGTGTGCGCTCAGGAGACAGCATCTGGTCTATGTGTGCGCTCAGGAGACAGCAGTCGGTCCGTGTGTGCGCTCAGGAGACAGCAGTCGCTCCGCGTGTGCAGTCAGTAGTCGGTCCGTGTCCGTTCCTGTTCTGAGCGAGCGGCCGTGGGGCCGCGGCAAGACTTCCGCGCCCGTTCACCGGCGCTGCCGTGCGGCTGCAGCGGGCGGCGGCCGAGCGCCAGCGGCGGCGGCGCTCCGACGCAGTGCGCCAGCTGGCCCGCCAGCTGGAGTACACCCGTGAGGTGATCCGCGTGCAGCGCCAGCGGACACGCCGCGCCGCTGCCGCCTCTGGCCCAGCCCAGCAGCGTCCGGCCGTCGGTGGCGCTGCCCAACTGCAGGTAGGTGCCCCGCCGCTCCCCAACGCTCGCCGCTATGTTGTTGATTACGCTGTGAGTGTTTCACGAAAGAGACATATCCCACGAAACAGGCTTTTTGGTTTTTTGTTCCTGGGAATGAAAAGACAACTGCCGTTTCTGGTAGCAGCCTTCCCACACAGATATGGAATGCCTGAAGTTCTGTCAGTTTAGCGCCTTGCCTTCAACCGGGACGTTGTCGACCGAAATGTTGCAGTAATGCAAGTCTCAACTTGCGTTTTTCGTCTCCACATGACTTGCGCCGAAACGAAAACCAAAATATAACAATTGAAGCGTGAATGTTCAGCTTCTACGAAAAGAAGGAATGTAAAGTGACTTCGGAAGTACGCCGCAACGTTTTACAACTACAAGTTGAAACTATTTTTGGCCATGTCCAATTCTCGTACGTTAGAAACGCATTCGCAAGAGGTCCGAAGGTCTAAGTCTCGCCATGGGCTGCGCTCCACACCTGGAGTGAGCCGTCTCGGCAGCCGCTGTCACAGCAGTGTCTAAGTCTCGCCATGGGCTGCGCTCCACACCCGGAGTGAGCCGTCTCGGCAGCCGCTGTCACAGCAGTGTCTAAGTCTCGCCATGGGCTGCGCTCCACACCTGGAGTGAGCCGTCTCGGCAGCCGCTGTCACAGCAGTGTCTAAGTCTCGCCATGGGCTGCGCTCCACACCTGGAGTGAGCCGTCTCGGCAGCCGCTGTCACAGCAGTGTTTTGTACTGCCGGCACTGCGGCGCCGCTCCCCGTCACGCCTGTCAGAGCGATAGCAGCATGCTCCATGCTGAGGAATGGGCCATTTTATCTTTGACTTTATTTTGAGTAGACAGGGAGTGGTGCCATTTACTCTTATTTCTTGATACAGTACTGGCATCGCGAAATATGAGATCTGGATCTTACAACTACATTTAAGCACAACTATGTTAGGGCTTGGACCAAGCTTTAAGGGGACATTTAATTTTTTATTTGGAATTTCCCATTTGGCACCTTCCAATAACCCCAAAGCTCCGAGCGTTGTGTGCTGGGAACACGTAAAAGTCATCTCACTGCCATGATAAGCTTTGTCGTGG